TTCCCGCAACACCCAATAAATTTTCATAAAATCAATATTTTCTTATTGAAATTATGGTTACCGGTGAAAACAAATATCATTATTTTTCTAAATTTGGTAACTTGAGTCGTTTTTAGAGCTTTTTAACTTACTGCACATTTCACCACGGTAACTGAATTTCATTCAGGTAAATATCATAAACAACCAGCGAGCGAGACTTCATACCCGTGCTTCCTGTTCATACTCACTAACGCGCGCTCTATAGCTTGCTTATGTATAGCGTAAGATAATATAGAACTAACTGCCTAAGCTCAATGGAAATCGAAAAACGTATAAAATTAATGGTTCTTCATTATTATCTCATAAATTTTATGAGACGTTAAAAAAACGCCAAACACACGCGTAGTTTTCGAGTAATAACAAGAAAAACTGACTAAAAGAAGCTGAAGCTGATTTATGCCAAACGGGACTAAGAGAGAACACGCCACCTAAATTTGTGCCGATGCCTAGCAAACGCCGTAGGGATGATGACATTTCAATAGAGTTGAATAACTTCAAGGATGAAATTAAGAAAATGATAGCTACTCTACTTGTCCCGCAAGAACAAGAACTTAAGAAAATTACACCTACATTAAAGAATATACAAAACATCGAGAGCTCTATTACTTTTCTTACTGCACAAAATAAGGAGTTTAGGAAGAAAATTGAATATTTGGAAAACCAAATAAAAGAAGACAGAAAATATATAACGATACTGGAGGATAGAATTGAGGATATGCAAATGGGAAGCCGTAAGATGAATTTTGAAATGAAAAACGTTCCTAAAAAAGTTAATGAATCTAAAGAAGACTTAATAGACATGGTAATGTGCTTATCCAAAAGTATTGAGAGTAATCTTAACAAAGGAGATATAAAAGATATAATATCGTATTCGTAGTAAAAGTGAAAAAATCCGCAATACTCCCATTGTGGTAGAGACTTCGTCAACATTGCTAAAAAGTAACATATTAAAAATGGCAAAATCTTTTAATAACAGGCACAAAACTAAACTTTGTGCAAAACACCTTGGCTTTCGTACGGCTGAAGATACTCCCATATACATAACCGATCATCTAACTGCTAAAAGTACACGATTACACTTCCTAGCTCGAGATCTTGTCAAAACAAAAAAATAAAAAATTTTGTTGGACTGCCTACGGAAAAGTTTAAGTTAAGATGAGACATCTCAAATAATAACCATAAAGAACGAAGCCCAGGTTCACCAGTCATTGCACACCGCGTGACTTGAACAGAACGCGCAATTTTTTCTAAATAATGAAATTACTTTATTTTTTTCTATATTTCTTTTAGTTCGTAAGTTTTTTCTAAACATTGTAATTAAATTCACTAATAATCAGTTTTCTTATATGTATTACACACAACTTATACATTCTTACACACAGCTTACACTTGCGTTTATTAAAACCCTATCACTCTCACTATCACAAAAAATGATCATATATAGTACTATCATTAATATACAGCTCACTCTTGAAATGAAAAATTCTAATAATCTAGTATACGAGAAAAGCAATTTACATATTAGGATGCAAACATATCTTTTTATCTATAAATGTATACATTTTAATGCATATATTAGATATTTACACATATGTATACACATACAGACAACAGCTAATACTCCTACTTTTGAAATGGACAGTTCTTTAATTACCTGGAAAGAATTGGATAAAATTGAAATTGCTAACGCTATTGAGCGCGACATTGAAGACCTCTCAAATTACATTACTGTGAAAAATAATGATATAACCATAATATCTCAAAATATAAGAAGTGTGTATAGTAACATAGATGACCTAAATTTAACACTATCTTGTTTAAAATTTAAACCTGATATATATTTTGATTTTGACTGAATGCCGACTAAGCCTCAACAAAACAATTCCATGCATTACTAACTATACTCATTTTGCTACAACCTGTCACCTCAACCAGAGTGATGGAGTAGTAGTGTATATCAAAAATACTATAAATGCTAAGGTTAAAGAAGTTAAATTAGAACACGCTTCATGCTTACAAATAGACGGCATACAACAATACAATCTTGGGAATATACCGCTCTCCTTCAAATACAAACGCCAATAAATTCATTAATTCGTTAAGTTTGCATTTAGAAAACATAAAATCAAAAGAAATCATGATTTTAGCTGGCGACATAAACGTTAACATTACACCTAAAATAAATGAAAATTCATATGAACGTAGTAACAGAGAAAATTATTTAAATATGTTAAGTATGCACGGCTTAATACCCGGTCACTACTTACCCACAAGAGAAACCAGTTGCCTAGATCACTTCATTCTAAAGCTAACACAAGGTAAGGTCTATGCTCAAATTGCTGTCTTACTTACAACAATTACTGATCACTCAATGATACTACTAAACCTAATAAAAGTGCCTTTAACAGCTTATTACAAAATAATCTTACTGAATTACTTTTTTGTGACAATCCCCATAGAGTTATGGAAATGTTAGTTAATAAATTGAGCAAATCATTACAAGAAAATACAAAGATTATGCATCTTCCAAAAAAATAAACGCATCTTAAAACCTTGGATAACACCTGTCATTTTGCGTTGTATTAGAAATCGCAATAATTTGCAAAAAAAAAAAGTTGCGTTCCGAACCTTACAATGGAATTCAAAAAATTGTGTATAAGAGATATCGTAACTTTTGTAATAAAATAATAAAAAAAGCAAAACAGAGTTATGAAAGACAAGTCCTGCGGATGTCTCTCAATAACAGTAAAAGTCTTTGGAGAAATATTAAAAGAATAGCGCATTTAAATAATACAAAAATTAGTAATACAGATTTATTACAAGCAAAAGCAACACCATTAGATTCGGTAAATTATGTTAATAACTTCTTTGCCAATGTAGGCAAAAATCTTGCCAAAAAAATAATAACTAGAAATAACGATAGTAAATGTATAACACTGGTTGGACAACCCCAGCTTTCATCCTTTGTCTTGATAGATACAGATCCTTACGAGGTACATGATGTTATCGTGAGCCTAAAATCTAACAGTGCTCCTGGATGGGATAACATTCCAGCGCACTTTATAAAACTTGCAGTAACTCAAATTACTCCTATAATCTGTCACTTTGTAGACATTTGTTTTAAGCATGGCGTTAAGCTCTTATAACACCAGTGTATAAGAATGGGGATAGAGGTGATGTTAGCAACTACAGACCTATTTCAGTACTACTTTCACTTTCTAAGATATTAGAAAAACTTATCAAAACAAGTTTATTAAGTTATCTTACTAAGTTCGATATCTTGTCTGACTGTCAGTATGGATTCAGACAAGGTCCAAGGACCAATCCACAGAAGATGCAATCTTAGCTCTTAGCTCGTATATAATTAACAACTTAGATCAGGGTAAAAAATGTCTTGCAGTTTTTCTAGACCTTAAAAAGGCCTATGATGCTATCTCTATCCCCATCCTTTTACAAAAATTAGAAAACATCGGCATCAGAGACACAACCTTGACATTGTTCAAGAATTATTTATTTAACCGTACACAAAAAGTTAAAGTAGGACAGTTTATTAGTGAGGACACATACACCACTTCCGGCGTACCACAAGGTAGTATTTTAGGCCCAACATTGTTTCTAATTTATATCAATGATCTTTGTAATCTGAAAATTAATGGTGTCCGTGTGTTCACATATGCCGATGACACAGCTGTGGTTTTTACTGGAGCATCATTGGATGAGATTCGTAAAAATACAGAATCTGGCCTTACTATAATTGCAAGCTGGCTTCAATCTAATTTTCTAACGTTTAATGCACTTAAAACTAATTATATTTGTTTCACTATTAAAAACCGAACTCAACCAGGAAATAACTAACATAAAGATAAACGCTTGCAACATTGACGAAGTTCAAAATTGTAACTGTTCTGTCATTACAAAAGTTTCTTCAACCAAGTACTTGGGGATCATTATAGATGAACGTTTAACTTGGCATGAACATATCGATGTAATAACATGTAGATTTAAAAAATTAGCCTGGATTTTTAAAACGCTTAGACATATTACTTCAGATACGCTCATTAACAAAATTTATGAAGCATTACCTCAATCGTTAATAACTTACTGCCTTCCGATATGCGGTGGAGCAACAAAAACAAAATTTTTGCAATTAGAAAGAGCTCAACGTGCCTTAGTAAAGACAATGTACTTTTTGCCTTATAAATTCCCAACTAAAAGCCTGTATTTAAAAACTGATATACTAAGTATAACGAAAATTATATATTTTGCACACAATATTAAAAAATCTGATTTTAGACCCGAATATTTTGAACAAAAGAAGAAAAGTCATTGTACTTAATTCATTTTGTGTTAAAACTGCATTCGCTAGACGTCTGTTCATTAACCAATCTATCTATCTATATAATTTTGTCAACAAAAAGCTTAATATTTACTGTAGAAATGCCAAGGACTGCAAGATTTTGATTATAAATTGAATAAAGACCCTGTCTTAGACACAGAAAAACTTATGTTTCGACACATAGGGTGAGAGAAAAAAACCCACCCACACACACACACACACACACACACACACACACACACACACACACACACACACACACACACACACACACACACACACACACACACACACACACACACACACACACACACACACACACACACACACACACACACACGCATTTATTTTTTGAATATTATTTTTTCTTTTTTTGTATAATATGTAATCTCACGTCTCTTGAACGTTTTGTTTGGCTATGGAAGAGCGGGAGTCTTGAGTCAAGTGCCTTAAGGTACTTAAAAGATGCTCCCTACCCTATGCAAATATACCCTATGCAAATTGTAAATACCAAGAGAAATAAACTATTATTATTATTATTATTATTATTAAAAGCCCATGCTTATAGCTATACTCGCCATAACTTAATAATACAATTAAAAATATTTTTTGCGTTTTGTTTCAGTTGGGCGTGTGGAGTTATCATGTTTACTTTGTAAGTTTTATTAAAATGTTTAATTTAATACAATAATGTCGAGTTGTTTCTCCTTAGTAGTCTGTATGGGTTTATTTCTAAACTGATAAAGGCAATTACTACTTAACTATGACAAGTATTGACGTAAATGGCTTTGATGATCAAGAATATTCTAGATAAGAAAGAGCCATATTAGCATTGCAATAATTCCATGTTTTACTAATTAACGTAAAATAAATATTGCATAAGCATCATGACTTCTAATATTATTCGAGATGAAAAATATTTTTAACTCGATTATATGAATACAACAATAAATGTAATTTTATATACAATTATCAGCAAAAAAAAAGTTGACCATTCGCAAAGTTCTACTATTTATTGCAAACAATGTGTGACTGGCTAATCACTGGTAACGCTTAAATGTTCTAAAATTAAACACCCAATACCTTTTTTAAATTATGACGTGACACAATAGTTTTTTTTCGGCAGAATCATTAAACTTATGGATTTTCAGATTGGTAGGTTGTCCGCCATTTTGGCATCGAAAGCAGATGGTGATGTTAAGAAACATTATGGAGGGGAAATACTCCTTCACTAGCCCCGAGTGGTCGGATATATCAGGTGTGTCATCATTATTAATTATTTATTTTTCAATTTTTTAACAAAAATAATCATTTGAAAGACGAAATTCTTATGAGGAAAATAAAAAAAAATTGCACGCCTTTTCGTTTTAAGAAATGAGTAGTTGTCTCATATAAAACATGATAATAAAGAAATTTTTTATGTTTTCTATCCAAATTATAATGTGTAATAACTATTATAGTATTAAAAAAATAAAAACATTAATTTTGTGTACACTGCATGAGATTTGTATTTCCTAAATAACATAAACATATTATAATTTTGTGGTTTAGGGAATTAAGAGGGATATTTTTATGTTGGTATATTTCTTCTGTAACTTCTAAAGCCGAAACGGCTTGAAGAAGATTCAAGATTCGAAGTTTTAATGTGCGAGATTTCATTAGGTTCTTTATCATACCTGAAGTATGATAGCTTTTATATTTTGGTTATTATACCAAAACGACGACCAGACTAATAAGTTCCTTGAAGGTAATACACCTTCAAGGAACTATTACTTATTCTGGTCGTCCACCAACCACACCACAAATATAATTTTATTACTTTTTAATAGTTCCTTGTTTTTATAATAAATTACTTGTTTGCCATTACAGAGGCTCCTAAAGATCTCATCAGAAGGCTGCTGGTAGTCGAGCCTAGCGAGAGAATTGATTTACAAGAAGCTTTAATACATCCCTTTTTCAACACTATGGTGAGTTCTTTTACATTTCATGGTGACAATATATACATTTGACATAAAAAGAATTTACTCTTAAAAATATATATATTAAAAGTAATATGTATTTATTCTCTACCTTCGTCAAGTCTTCCCAGATCACTTCAATTCGAGACTCTTCAAGGCAAGAGTAAATAGACATATTCTAGGCTAGTGTTTACCATCTAGAACCTCCACTTAACATCAGGTGGGATCTTAGTCAAATGTTTGGTTATTAATGATAAAATTTAAATACATTCGCTTGAATAACTTAGTGAAGACCCACAAATAGATACTCATCGCTCTCTTTATGTAGTTCAACTACTAACCTCATTTTTTATATTTCACGCTTACAAATTCAAGCAGAATACATATTTTTTTAAATATTTCATACTGATAGAAAAAGACTACAATCTAAGCATGATCTATATTTTTGTCAATCTATTATGATAGTATTTTCATTTTACTTTTGTAGTTAAACCTCTAGGCTTCGCATAAATATTTTAAAACTTTACGCTTATCTTTTTCTCGCCACCTGCACAAGTTACGGTGTGCGGAGCACTGCAGCTTACTGTGAACAAATGTTTTATTTTACGTTAACCCAGTCATAACTAGCAAAATTACTACATTTTTTACCACAGATTACTAGTTTTACAGTTATATTCATAAAAAATCCCTTTAAATATGTTGATTTGTAAAAGTAACGAATAATTGGCATTTTAACTCCGAACTAGAATTGGCTACTGTTTTTCATGGATTATATTGTAAGGTGAACTACTACTAATTATAGTTCGTGCCAAATCGATTGAGAAAAACAGACATTGACCTTTCGGTCGTTTAACCAGGGGCTACAAACCTTCAATATATAGGCACTTTTTACATATAGTACTTTCTTTATTTATTATGATCTTTTTTCATAATGATTGATATAATATATATTTATTAACTATTATTAAAAAGTTATGTAAAAAATCGCTGTAGAAGAAAAATCATCTGTTGTTATAAAGTACTTTATTCATTTTACAACAAAAATAATGAATTTATAACACATATAAATATTCGAGTGATAACGACACCGAATAAGTACGTACTTATTCAAAAGATATTTATTTTCAATATTATATAATAACTTCATTTTTATTCGGTGCATGCGGGCTGACTCAAAAAAAGTGACGCATCTCTGGCTGCTATTGTCACGTTTCTTTTAGAACGAACTGACGTAACGCGCGTTTTGTTTATTTTAAAGAGATGAATTTGCAAAAGCTCAATATGATGATAATATTGTTTCAAATTTTTTTAAAAAAATATGAAACTGTTATTAAATGAATTGCTGCGTTACTTACCATAAATTGAAATATAAAATATAACACATTTTTCGCGATGTACCGTAAGATTTTACGATGTTTATAGGAACCACAGACAATATTATTTAAGAAACAAAAAAACAAAACGTATGTGCTGACCTAGAAGAGTGAATAAAATCAATATTTAAATATTGTTAACACATCTAAATTGAGATTTTGTAAGTTACGTCTTTTGACACTCGGCTCATATCTGAGATCATCGTCCGTTTTTCTCAATCGATTTGGCACGAACATTCAACATACATTTTATGAATAAGTACATGAAAATTATAATATTTTTAAATTGAAAAATGTATAGATAATAAAAACGTAAATAACTAAAATTGAACTGGGCTAACGTAAAATTGTATTTTTTCTCTAGCAATTGATTCGCAATTGTACACATGCAAAACAGCCAATGGAATGACGTATGTGTTACTATCTATGGAAATTAAAACACGTTCAATTCCATCGGTTCTTTGAATTTTATTTGCTGGAATGTATGTTATATAAAGCTCCGATTATGTGCTTCACTCCTGGTAGTTGTGGGACCAGGACATGACACCGCTCAAGAAATCGCTGTCCGGAACCAGCCGAAGGATGTCCAGGATTGACCAACTGTCTATGGTAATACTCAGAAGTCTCAAATATTATATTACGCTCGAATTTTTAGACAGTAGACAAGGCAGTTAATATATAATTTTGAGACTTGCGCATGTGAAATTACAAATACGCACTAACACAATAACACTATAGTATATATTTTGTATTAGAGAATTTCTGAGTAAAATTTTTACTTTTTTCTCTGCGTAAACATCTAAAAACTCATTTTAAGACAATCTTTATATAAAAAATGGTAGATTATTATATAATAAATTTCTTGGAGATATACATATCTAAAGAAAATATCGACATACTCTTTAATATTCATATTTTGTTAAAATATACCTAGACCATGTTGATTAGTTTATTTAATACGAATAACAAAAAACCAAATAAAGAAATATTTCACTCATACTTTCTAAAACACTTAAATCTTTTCGTGCAGGTTGATTATTTTTGCATGATATGCATGTTTGCACTGTTTTATCTTAAAGAATAGTATACATAAATACGAGATCGAGCTAGATGTTGAGCTAAAACCTGATTTTTTAACCTTTAGGTTTGTGCTGTAGATACAGAACGGCAAACAATTAGAAGACGTGTGACAGGGATCTAGAACTTATGCATGAATTCATTGTTTTGTACATTTCTATTGACATCGTTAATTGATAATAATAATAAGGTGTGACTGACTTAACTAAAATAAAATTTTCCCGAGTTCCTCATGGACCCGTTTTTTCCCCAACTCTGGGTATGCAGACAACAGCATAGTTGTGGAGAGGGACCGGACGAATGCTCGGGCCAGTCGGAATCAAATTCAGTTCAAAAGTGAAGCTATGGTTGAGCGTGCGAGTCTCTCACTGCCGGTATTTTTCGAATGGCGTGGCGCCAATATTTTGAGATTCAACGACAAGTGTGTCTCTTCACCGCTTAAGAGCCTGCTCAATTTGGCTCTTGTATTCCAGGATGTATCTTTGAAGTACCACACTGATATAATATACGTATCTTTAGAGTACACTGATATAATATATGTATCTTTGGAGTACACTGATATAATATATGTATCTTTAGAGTACACTGATATAATATATGTATCTTTGGAGTACACTGATATAATATATGTATCTTTAGAGTACACTGATATAATATATGTATCTTTAGAGTACACTGATATAATATGTGTATCTTTGGAGTACACTGATAGATAAAGATTCTTTCCCCCTCCACCTCCCCCTTTCCCACCATCGAACACTCAGGCGGTCAAAGGGTCTGCAACTCTTGGTTGGCAATATTCCACGTATTGTTACCACACAGTTTGCTTCGCGTTCGCTTTTCAAAATGCTTTGTTATATTAGATGTTCACGACAGTAGCCATTCGGTTACTGTCGTGATCATCTACTATAACAAGTCAGTGTACTCTGCTGGCACATCTAACATGGATGTCAACGCTTTTTCAGCTAATATTGTTTTCTTTAATGTGTTATCACTCTCACGAATAGCTATTCGGACTTTAAAATTAGCAATAGACATTAAATTAATTAAATGTACAGCCTTAACAGCTTAGGCCAAGCGCTCGCTGTAGATTTCACAGTATTCGAGCATCCCGGGTTCGATTCCCGCCGGCACCAATGAAATTGTTAATTGCAATTTTAAGTGCTAATTTACTACGTGTTCAGCGGTGAAGGAAAACATCGTGAGGAAACCTGCATGTCTGAAAAAAAAATAGAAGACATGTGAAGTTCGCCACATGCATTTGGGCAATGCGGCGGATATTTGCCTTGCCCCGCCCTAAAACCCTCTCAAAAATGAGAGGCTTGTGTCAATTTATTTGCCAGCTTGTGTACCGGTCGTAATTTACGGTTGACCGATTACCGATGATGCCTTGTACTGACATAGTTGCCCAAACTATTATTTATTTTGGTGCATTGCAAGGGTTTCTGCTGTTTCAGTTTTGGATTGACTGCGGTCCAAAATCAACAATTCTGTGTACTAATATGCCATAAAGGATTACTAAAATAATATGAAAATGAGCTTCGTCGGAAAAGAGAATATAGTTGAAACATCAGAAGCGCTACAACTTTGTTTCAAGAAAAATACGACGTTAACTTTGTTCGTTTGGTTTTATTTCCTGCACCTACTCTGTTTTATAGGGGTGGAATTTAAGATATTTCGTTACCCTTCAAGCGCCATAAAAATCCCATGCAGTCCCCGGCAAATCTCAAGCGGTCGCATGCAACTACACCCACCCACAGCACTTAAAACCATTAAAACTTATATTTAGAGACTACTTTCTATGAAGAAGTTTAGCATTATAAAATCAATACAAAATTCTCTATCTTGTGGTTTAAACAAAAGTCTGGTTTTACTTCATTACAAAAAGATTTTATTGTATTTTGATAACAACAAAAAAAAAACATAGCAAGCGAATGTCGGCAGCGTGAAAATCACAATTATTTCAATATATATTACCCGAAATTATTTACGTAAAAAGATAAATTATATTCACACAAAAACTTTCATTATAATTTTATAATAAAACACTAGAAAAATCCAAAAACCAACACGACCACATTCACGCAAAAATGACGTACGAAATGAACGTAGATCATAAATAAATATCTGTAGGATAACTGACTTTTTATTGCACTAGAAGTTAGAAAATTTCATATTGATTCTATAATGCCAAACTTCTTCATAGAAAAGTAGTCTCTATATAAAAGTTTTTATGGGTTATATTGCTGTGGGTGGGTGCGACCTCATGAGACCGCTAGGGATTTGAAGGAATATGGCCGCGGTCTCATGAGACCGCTAGGGTGTTGAGAGGTTAATAAGCGACGCAAAGATGTCTGTTATAGAGTAAGTACAGCTCATCGCTTACGAGTTGTCATTGTTATATAGAATGTTGTATGGACGTTAACTTCACCAATTGCTTCTTGTGGTCTTATTGATCTTTGGCGTCCCGCAGGTTTTTTTTTTTTGATTTAGCATAGAAACCGGTAGATTCAAACTTCCTGACCTACGATCTAATGATACTTTCACTGGGGCATTCATTTAAATCGTGTAATCTGAACTCTTTGCTAAATAAGCGCCAAACGACAGTTCCAGAAGTCATTTTTATTATAATTTTTAACGTACAATGAAAATTTCCGTGAACCGAACCCATCTTCTGCTTACCGTTCCGAAGCAATTCCATTTTTAAAATCGTATGATTTTCTGGCCCATCTTGTAAATTGTTTGTTAGTTCAACATTTATATTATATATTATTTGTTTTTGTAATAAATCCACACACGCATTTTTATATACTGGAAGATTATTATATTATTATCCCACTTCGAAATAACTATGTCAAATGGTCTTGGTCTTAACATTTTTAATAAATTGAAATTTTTATTGAGGTAAAAAGCAATTGAAGAGAGTATTGATAACATAACCCACGCTTATGTTTGAAGTTTTAACATTACAATTGTGCGCACTGTAGTATTTTTGGTCTTGGGCTGCAAATGTAATGATCGAAGCACAGTTGTTATATAATTACGTAAATGCTCTTGATCAGAGTCGATCTTCATGACACGCGTCTATTACAGCGGTTACACGTTCAGTATTTCATCAGTTCAGTCCGTCAGTGTGGTCAGAATGACCGCACAATTATCGTGTAACCAATGGACTGACGGACTGATAAAAATGAAATATTTTAGACAATTTTTGTCAGTCCATTGTGAATGATGAAATACTGATGCGAGACTAATCGTGTAACCGCTGACTATCATTCTGGCGTCAGTCAAAGTTGGATTAGATTGACGGACTAAATTGATGAAAAAAGTATAATAACGGTATGTCGCAGGCCATAAAGAGCGGCAGTTTCTCGGCGCGCGGGAGGTTGCGCGTGGTGCTGCTGGCGGTGCGCGGCGCTGTGCGGCTACGGCGCCTGCTACACGCCTCCGCGCGCGCCATGCCGCTAGCCGACGCGCTGCGCGACCCCTACACCATGCGCGCGCTGCGCAAGGTACACACGCACCCACACACAACAACATGCGTGCTGCACGCCTCCGCGCGCGCCATGCCGCTAGCCGACGCGCTGCGCGACCCCTACACCATGCGCGCGCTGCGCAAGGTACACGCGCACCCACACGCAACAACATGCGTGCTGTACGCCTCCGCGCGCGCCATGCCGCTCGCGGACGCGCTGCGCGACCCCTACACCATGCGCGCGCTGCGCAAGGTACACACGCACCCACACACAACAACATGCGTGCTGCACGCCTCCGCGCGCGCCATGCCGCTAGCCGACGCGCTGCGCGACACCTACACCATGCGCGCGCTGCGCAAGGTTCACACGCACCCACACGCAACAACATGCGTGCTGTACACCATGCAAATTATAATAAATAAATTACATCATAACATCGTCCACGCATCTTACAATCATTTAATACTGCAGCCCTCGTCTGAATCAATTACCGTTATCGATCATACCGGGAACCGATTGGATAACGTTTACGCGACCGCAGCTAATCTAACTATTCGCATGTCTTATTCTTACATCGGAATTCTTATGATAAATTTGTCAATATATGTACGTATTAATCCGGAAAAATCGCTGATGGTAGTCTATTCGACAAGGAAGTTGTGCGAGGAAAAAACTTCATGTAAAATTTTACTACTGATTTCAGATATTTAAGTTTTTTCTCATTCCAGGTTATCGATGGCTGTGCATTTCGAGTATACGGTCACTGGGTTAAGAAAGGTGAAGGACAAAACCGCGCGGCACTGTTTGAAAATACGCCGAAGACCGAGCTAAAGAGCCTTTATGTCAGCAACTTGAGCCGATAGCTGGTGGGGAGCTGCTTCTTGGTGCTTTATATGTAACTCTCCTGGACTTTTGGTAAATGTTGTTTAAATTTTTTTAGTGATATTTTGCATTGACGAAAAAAACCTCATTTATTAGAATAGCGTGGCTATAGGTTATATATTGTTCGAGGAGATATGATACTTTGCTTCTTTGGTCTGGTAGACGTAAGCACGACTGCGGATCTGTTCGAATTCCGGCTGAGGCCAAAATCAGTTATGGGATTTTTTTTGTGAAATTCTCAGTAGAAGCCCGAACTCAGGAAGTTGGCGGTATTTTATCCCAGTGCCTCGAAAAAATCGTAAAGTCGTTGGCCCTGCGCCTGATATCTCTCCGATCGTGTGAGATTACCGTACCATTGAGTGTGAAGGAATAAAGAGCACCTGTGCTTGTGCAGGTACATTCGTATTATTATCCTGTCCTGTGTGGCGGCTAGTCCCCGCTGTGATTGGTGCCGTGACCGAAATTCGGTCTGGAGAATATTATTGGTAGCTAGTCAGTGGCGATGCCTCCATAGAAGCCCAGAAGCCGGGCTTGCTCTATCAAATTGCTCAATCAATAATATCAACTAATATAATAACTTGTAAACTGTTTCAAACTACACTCGGCGTCACAAAAATCGCACCTCCCCGAAAAAAATTTTTCTTGTGTCTGGTTCCCAGTGTTTATATTTAATCAAGTCAACATTGGTATCTACTGAAAGTGCGTTTATTAACCTTTAAATTAACAACCTTTTTGTTTCATAAACCTAAGAAATTTCCTTAGTACGAGATGTTGAAAAAACTGTTTCAAAAATACGCGTCATAAAAAGATCACTAGTTGCGGTGCGTTATATGCTATAAAAGGGCCGGTACAGTTAAAATGTGAGTCTTTCGCTTTTAAAACGTTGAAGAGGATACACGTTAACTTCTGAAACAAGATAAAAACCCTACAATGTGGATAACACTGCTGGTGAAGCCGTTCAAGTGATTGCGCTACTGCAGTCAGGGATGCGACAGTGTGATGTCGCTCGGCAACTAAATTTATCCCGTTATTCCGTTCGACGAGTATCCTAACGGTTTCAGGACACTGGTGGCTATATTCGGAGGCGTGGATCTGGACGAAAGTCCTGCACATCTCAAAGAGACGATCGATTCATTGTATCGACATCTCTACGCAATAGATTCTCGAACTTTAGCTTTATTTAGAACTGCAACAGCAGCTACGATCAGCTCGCAGAACATCTGTAAGCGTCTCTACGATCAGAAGACGGTTAAGAGAAAAGAAAATTGCAGCGCATAGGCCTGCAACTAGTCCAAAATTGACCGCACAGCATCGCAGAGATCGATTGCAATTTGCACGCGATCATATTGATATGACGATCGAACAATGGAGGACGGTACTTTTTTCGGATTCGAGAGTATGTCTTTTCTGCAATAATAAACGCAGGAGAGTATACAAAAGGCAAAGGAAACTATTTGCACAAGCCTGTATTAAAGAAACAGTTGGATTCAAGAGTGGCTCATGCATGTTCTTGGGTGTCATGTCAGTCAACGCTAAAACCAGCCTTGTCTCCGTTTCCCGGAATGGAGGTGCTCGTGGTCAAGGGTCGCTGATTGCTCACCGACACATTATGGAAATCCTAGAAGAGCATGTGGTCCCATAAGCGGGTTTCGTCGGCGATGGATTGACATTAATGCATGACAACGCCCGCTGTCACACTGCATTAATTGTACATGATTACCTTCAAGAGGTCGGGATCTCTGTTATGCGGTGGTCGGCGCAAAGTCCAGACATGAACTCGATAGAGCACCTCTGGAATGATGTAAAGCAGCGAGTACGGACTTGTGCTCCTGCCCCAACCACACTGCAAGACCTCGAGGATGCTGTCATTAAGGAATGGGACATTCCTCAAGAACGCATTGTTACTTTGATTAAATCAATGAAAGACCGTATGGAAGTAGTAATTAAGGCAAGGGGTGGTACCGCTAGGTTTTAGGCCGTTTTAAAACATGTTTTTATTTAATTTTGTAAGTTGCAATAAATCGTAATTTTCTTCTTTTGGACAATAACTTTTTTTATTTCCCGGTAAAAACACATGATAACCATTAATTATTTTTTCTAATGAGTAAATTTAATTACCTTTCCAATGACATAACATACTCATAGACTTACCATTGATTAAACGGATTTAAAAGTAGTTTGAGGTAGAAATTTAAAGAGGTGCGATTTTTGTGGCGCCGAGTTTATTTCAAATTTCCTGCTTATGACCTCGTAGCATATAATATGTAACGTCAACACTTGGCAGTTTGCTTTCAATTCGAAATACACTGAACTGTCAAAATTAATGAAAACAAGGAGTTGATTTTGTCGTCTCTCTCGCACGCGTTGGCTTTTTACCGGGCTTTCGAGAAGACGATCGCTCCCTTTCTAACCCGTGGCAAAATGTTCTCTAATGAAATATAACTACGTAATGTATATAGCAATTACTATGGAACCAAAAGCTGGGCTTTGCCCTGAAGTTGTTTGCGTTGCGTGGGGGTGCGGGCGTACGTTTGCAGCACTTCACATTTTTATGGTAAAAAAAATTGCAAAGCTTTATCTTCTCATTGTACCATATCTAATTCCTGTCGTAATACGTTCTTCTAAGCTATCATCATCATCATCATCATCATTACAGCCCTTCACAAGTCTACTGCTGAACATAGGCCTCCCCCAAGTAATGCCACAAAGCACGGTCCTGAGCCACCTGCATCCATTCTAAGCTATAACTTAAACAAAATATATATAATGCCAGGTGTCCCTTTTTTAATTTTGTACATAGTTTGTTTGTACTTTGTTCATGCTTTTCTTTTCTTCATGTATTGTATTGTATATAAATATATTTTTCTTTCGCTCAAGCAAACCCAAACGGCTCTTTTCAAAGCCACCGAAGGTATGCAATTGTTTATGTCATACAATCTACCTAGCGGTTGTATGCCTTCTGTGTGATTTGTTAAACACGTCCTTGACAGCACTGAATATCAAACTAAAGAGTGAAGACAGATCAAGATTGGTGTATTTTTATAAAACTGCTAAAAACAAAAAAACCATATCTTGGGCTTGCCCTAGTTTGGAGCCCTAACTTCGCCACTGTAGCTAGTACTCGTAAGGTGTGCTGTATGAATTTTTCACGTGACTTTGTTGTTAATCAACTCGTACACACTCATCTAACGCAGTGCATGTGTCGCCGTACTAAACATATCTTAGCTGAACTTTTAAAGCATAATAAAAATTAGTAGTCAAATAAAGTGTATATTTTGTATTTTCAACTTTTTTTATATTGGTAATGGATTCGTACAGTTGTACTTTTGCCAGTGTCAAATTTATGTAATTTGTTTAAAAAATTCTTTAAAATATGTTGTTGCGTCACATTGTGAAGTTTTTAGGAGATTTTGACGCCAAGGCGCACGCAGAAACATTATCATAAGGTTCACATCGCCATTGGAACACCTGTTTTAGCTTGCACTTATCAATCACTAATAAAAAACCGTGCCCTAATAGTTAAGCGCAGACATTTAATTAACGTTTTTCTTAAATAGAATAAAGGTGACAAGCGAGCACACAGTCCACCTGGTGGTGCCCATAAACACATAAATTTATCCTACATATCAAAATCTATTTCAATTCATTATATACCACCAATGCAGGACCAGCAACAATCCGCCGCCGCGCCGGACCGGTCAAGTTCGGTAATTCTTCCTACCAAAACTCCATACATAATTCTTTTATTAAAGAATTATATATTAACCCGCAGAACTGGGCTAGTGTAGCGCGGCTCTACAACGCATAAAATCTGATAGAAAACTGCTTTCTCCAGTTCTAGACTTGGCGAATTAAGAGTCCACCTTACGGCGCCTCTACACGTTGGCCAACACAGTGGCGAATGTAGTGGCCAATAGCATTGGCCAACGTGTAGACGGGGTGTTTGGGCTTCATTGGTATGTATTGGAACGATGGCCCGCAAGTTGGCGCGAGATCCGTGTGGTGTCGGTTTTTTACAAAAGATCAAAGGATTGTTGGCAGAGTTTGGTCGCCGCGTCCACACGTTGGCCGCGAGTTTAGTTTGCTACAAGCTCCCAGAGTGATTACACGCATCTGATTAAAATTTTATATTCACGCTTTGTAGGGTGGATGACCCAATTAACAGCCTTTTAGTGCCAATTTCCACTTTAAACATTCCTACTACTTTAATTAGCGCGATTTAATTATTTTTAACTATTTGTTTTAATCGATAAGCTATTTATAAAAAAAATAATGAACATTTATTTGCAATCAGATTATTACGAGAACAATTTTAAAATGACAAAAAAAATGAAGCACGTCGTTTATACGTGGTAGAACCATGCAGTTATATTAGTTGTAGCACGAATGGGTCAGCTCGACCGGGGAAGGACCACGCTCTCACAGAATATTAGCGTAAAATAGTAGCTTAATGATGCTGTGTTTCGTATAGTGAGTGTAGAGAACCAGAGACTCTTTTTAAAGGAAACGAGGCATTTCTTCTTAGTCCTCACGAGTGACAATGCATCTGCATTTTGATTCGTAATCGAGGATAGATGTAGATGTCTATGGGCCGCAGCAACCACTTACCAGCAGGTGAACTGTGTGCTCGTTTGTCACCCTATCCTATATAAAAAAGCGTCGATTTCTTATAATTTAATCGTGCAAGTTTTCGAATCGTCATCATCATTACAGCTCTTCACAAGTCCACTACTGAACATCCTCCTCCACAGACTGCCGCAAAGCATGGTCCCTGAGCCACTTTGCTCGTCATGAGTTTTTCATTTATGTTCTAAGTTATAATTAGTACTATTATTAAGTCAGTGTTAACTGTATTTTTATTGCTATTGTTTTTGTCTTTCTTAAAAAAATAATTAAATTACCAAATAAATTATAAGGTGCTTTTATATACATCAAATGTCTGATAGAAATGCACGTACATATTTTGCTAAACTTTAAAATCAAAACCCAATTTTAAAACATAGACTAATCGCTTATAACTCTCTTAACTTTAAAATAAGTTAAGTTCTTATTAATGGTATTTATTCCAGTTTATGATGCATGTAAAGAATAAATAAAGCTAATCGTATATCGTATATCTATTTACAACCCCATTAATATCCACTATTATTTTATAATTCTTTTATAAAAACGTTAACCCCACACTAGGATTTTCTCCCGTATCGCGCAGGCAGTTTACAAACATAAATTGCACAAGGACACACATCCAGACCCGAAATAATTATTTTTAGGACATACAAATACTTGTTCCGTGCGGGATCAAACCCGCGGCGCCCGGTGCAGCCACTCATTGCTGAGCCACTGCGCCACGGTGCTTATAAATTCGTCCGCACATTGGCCCGAACCGAAATAAACTGAACGAAAGGTGCCAATATATTCGCCACTGTGTTGGCCAACGTGTAGAGGCGACATTATGCTTGTTACCACTGTCGCCAATGAACACCTGCTCCCAACTTCCGTTGTTGCCATACTATGTAAATATTAATGCTTTTTTACATTTTAGGCGTGAACTTGTACCAGGGTAGCATGATCACTGAAGAAGTCGAGCTTCGGCCCCGCGATGACTCCGACTCGTAGTCCTTATCCCGTGTGATGTGGGTTAGTCATAATAACATGATGTCTAAACTTTCGAACTCTAGTTATTGAATTACTAATAATTAAATTTGCACGAGTCTAGCGTTTACGAGACTCCCGTCGTTCGTAGTAACGACGATACGTTGTTGATAACGTAAACTAGCTTTGTTTGTTAGTTAAATTATTGTTGCCACTGAGAGGTACAAAACCTGGTTGGCGATAACACCTGTCGAAACTATGTTTGTTGATTGTATTTGCGTGATCGTAGAACAATTAAATGTAGTTTAATTAAGTTGTTATTTGTTTTCTTTATATTTAAGATACACATTTAGCGAATAAATTGTGTTTAGTATTATGTACTGTAATTTGGCGGTTTCCTTCTATACTAATTGTAGTAATTTTATTTATTATCTGTATTAATTTTTATCGTTTAGATCTGGTCATTAGGCATATTATATTTGCCTTTATATTATGTAGTACCCAAGAGGGAATCGTCGCTGTTTTTCTTAACAGCTGTGTGTATAGATAGCTAAATAATTGTATCACAGGATATCGCTTTTTTCTCTTTATACACAATTTATTTAATAATTGACATATTATGTATGTTGTTAGTAAAAATCATTATTTGTTTCCTTAAACATTTTTTATTTAAATACTTACGTAGCAACATGATATAGATGAAATATATCTAGTTATTATTATAATTCACACCAAGATTACACGAACAAGGTATCAGTGTGGAAAATGTAGGGAACGATTGTCAAAATACGTTTCTCCTAAAAGTAATAAATGTTTGTTTAAATGTTAAAAAAGATATTTTTTAGGAATGACATGATTTGGTAGTAGTGGTTTGCTGGCAATCACAAAATATACAAAGTATATAAAGAAATCACCATTGTTTTAAAAAAATTACAATCTCACAAGAAAATAAAATGTTCAAACTATAAATCATCTTCTTTTTAACAAAAATACTTAATACTATATTTATTATTACAAAATAATTGATAAAAATACTTTAGTGGTCACTCATTAAGTTTGATTCACACTAACATAGAGTTATGCCCTATGTTATGATGACATCAGTAATTCTCACCTGTGTTTAAAATATTCGAATTGCAATAGGTAAACTATTTATTTAATAAATCCAATTAATTAATTCACCTTTTTTCCTTTGAACATGCACATTTTTCTTAATTGATATGTACATTAGAAGTATGAGTTATTTTAATTATTTTATTTTTTCATATACAACTCTCTCGCAGCACATCCGCTATCACAAAATTAAGATCAAACAAATAAGTATGAGGTCACAGAATAGCGTATGTATAACATACAGGAATGACAGATCGGCGAATTGGAAATTTAAAGAGACGGTGCGTTATAGTAAGACGTACAGTAAGACTTAAATGACGGAGGATAATCTAGAGAGTACAATAATTTTAATTAAATTAGTCCTGGTTCCATCTGGTGTAGTTTTGCAAATAATTAGTTGTTTATGTTTTTATGTACGTAAGTACAATCTTGTTTATACTCTGACCAGAAAAATAAAAACTGTAATACAAATTAACAACTTTACAAAATAAAATTATTTTCAAATTATGTTAACGGAAAATGCGAGTATAGTCATACCAATATGAAGTCTTCAGTTATTTTTAGACGTACTGTTAAAGAACTTCTCCAACTGAAAGACACGCATAAAATAAATTGTTAAATAATTCCCAACATACCCAATATTTACTAAGTTCACTATAATATTAAATACTATCAAGTCAATGACGAAGTCCAAAATACAATCGGAAAATAATCCAATCAGAATATTTTTCTTTATTCTAGCTATAATAAATAAATCATGAGTATTCAGTTAATTTTCTTCTATTATTAAAGTTATAATAGTAGTGATTATATGAGAGCTAACTTAAATAACAAGCAAGTGTTAAAATCAACGATTTTGTACATCCAACTTACATATAAATAAAATAAGAATATCAATGTATTCGAAATCAGTTTTATACGCATTGTTAAGTATAACTCAAAACTTCTGGTCAGATCTTGATGAAATTTATATGGGACCACACGTGAAGCACCAGCTCTCAAATAAAAGTGTCATCACAATCGGTTCACCCAGAAAAAAAGGTTCTGTGAAAAACATACAGTCGAATTGAGTACCTCCTCCTTTTGATATCGGTTGAAAAACAAATGTAATAATGATGTCATTGAGAACATATATAATTCTAAAATACTCTACATCTGTTCTGATCAGATCAGTCGCGAGTAGAATTCCTTAAGATATGGCGCAATTACTAATTTTTATAGTATCACCAAAGAAAGTAAAGCAACTTGGAATAAATACTTATTTTGGGTCAATTATATATTGTAGTAGTTTAAATTGAAGTTTTAAGAAAACGTGTTTCATTATTAATGAATAAATGGCATGCTAAGATTTTTTGTGTAATAATTTATTTTCTAGCAAATGCATCGGTTTCTGCTACGTATGTTAAAAAGATATTTGATACTTTGTAGTTCTATTATTTATCTTTCACTAACAATAAGAAGGGTTATTATATTGAATTTGTATTTTGTTTTTAATCGGCTCCGTCATTCAAGCTATGTTTTCTCTTGTAATTTTACATATTATTGGCAACAGAAATCCTCTTGTGCCATATATTATTAATATTCGCTTTTAAAGGCATCTAAATTATATATAAATTAAAACAAGGTTTCAGCAATAATTAGATTTTTCTATATTTAAATTATAACTGTCAACAAAATATTTTATATATGATTTTATTGCACATTGTAAACAACTTATGTAAGGCAAATGTCCCCCTGATCGTGTACCGATACTTTTATAGCGAGTGATGACAAAAATATTTAATAGCAATAATTTAGTCGAATAATAAATGCCTTAAAACTTCTGTCGCCTTTTATTTTGAACGTTTCTTATTTAGTTTTATACTAATTTGAAGAGAGACTTCTCCATTTTTAAAAGTAAAAAAATCAGTTGTTCATCATCTATTTTGCCTCAACTGTAAAAAATATGGAAAATCTGCAATATTTTAAATAAATAAATAAATAAATTTTCGAATATAAGCCTTATCGTCGTGACAACAATGCAGCCGAACCACACACAATATTAAAGATATGTTATATGAACCAGGTATTTATCAGGTATATAAATACCTGGTTCATATAACATATCTTTAATATTGTGTTTTCCTATTTAAACATGAACGCATAGTTGGATCACTTCCCTTTTGCGACCACACCAACGTGCCTGTAGATAGCCGGAGATTAAGTTCAATAAACAAATTTAAAACTATTATGGAAGCGGAATCATCCTTAAATTCGTCAGAAATGTAAACAGTAAAAGTATATTGATTCATTGGAAAAATATTATTTATCGACAAAATTGGCGATATTTTGAAAATGGGCCACATTAGAAAAACCCTTAACCGACGAGCATGTATGTGTAGATATATGTATGTAAGGGAGGCGAAAGAGGTATGTCAGGATCGTGCCAAATGGAAGTCCGTAGTCTCTGCCTACCCCTCTGGGTGACAGGCGTGAGTGTTTATGCTTATGTTTTGGAAAAATCTAAAGCTAGGAAAATTCACAATCAATTTATTAGTTGAATTAAACGTTCTTGATGAGTTTTTACAACTGATTATGCTGCAGTTCACCATTATAAATATTTAATAACATAAATTCACGTACGATGTTCCCCGCGCAACTAAATCACAATGTTGTCAAATGTCAAATGGTGAATTATGTTCGTCAACACATGATAGCGGCGACAAGGTCACGACTTCTATTGTCTTATTATTACGATATCTGTGGAGACAACTTTTTACACTACACACGTTATTAAAACAGCATACATAAAACTAAGCGAAGTAAACGGTCAACCGTCAAATGGTCAACAACGCAAAGATATAACTCGATAGTTGCACCTAAAAACTTCAAAGAGCCACGCCCACCATGCTTACGCGGCAAGTACAGCCTCATTAACGATGATCTCGGATGATGCATTCTATGGGACGTTATGGTAGTGCGGACTTTTCTATCCAGGGCGTTATGTTCTATAATAAGTCGACCTGAGTATGAAAAAGGTCCACACGAGAACAGTCATGACCCAACCATTATACGCGTGTTTTTTTTAATAGAAAACGCCCTCCACATTCGCGCCGTGAACACACGTGAAAGGCGTGAACCGCGAATGTGGATGGCTTTCGCGCCCGTTCACGTGCTTCGCGCCTTTTCACGCCTTGTTCCCCGTTCAGTGTCGGTATTTTGTGCCCGCGTAAAAGGGTTTACGACGCGTGAACCTCCCGTGAACGCAAGCGCATCCACACTCGTTCAGTGAGGTTATGCTTATTTGTATTTTCTTACGGAGGACGGTGCGTCAAATGAGCGTCAGTTGGACGAACAAGCCAACCATTTTATGGGATGCTAAACATAAAGATCATAAAAATAAAATGAAAGTACATGACGTATGGATGCGAATAAAGGAAATAATGAATATTATTAAGCTATTGCATAGCTTCTATCGCGGGCCTTGAGCGCGGGGACCGAATCCAGAAATTCCGTAACGAAAAAACCTCACGCTCCCCACTCCGACGTGCACGGAGGTGTGGCGTTGAAAGTCGTGCATCGTCTAACGTCGTTTCAGTTCGGCAGATTTCGGCACGGTGTTTGTGTGCGTGCGACTAGACGTATGCGTGTACACTAGCTGCTAACTCAATGATAAAAATTCCTGAATAACCTACATGTATTGTAAGATATTAAAAATATTTTAAACAATATTAACTTCTCATTTATTCAATAAGAGAAAAAAAGTTGTTTTCTTATCGGTCACCACGCTCAAAAAGTGTAACTTGATTTAATATCAAAGACTTAACTGCATAAATAAAATAAATAAATAATTATAATTGCATAAGTTGATAAAAAATGC